GTACTTCAGTGATTTTAACCTGCTTGAAAATCATTGACTATAAAGTTTGGTATGGTCGGCGCTGGTAGGTCTCCCAAAATGGTTGACAAGTCTCAGAATCCAATTTAGTTGGAGCTCTGTAATCCTGCCCGTCGCCAACTTCCCCGATGGCAGCGCGCCCCATGCGTTTCCCAAGGCCCGCGCTCATCATCCTCATCATATGCCTGGCGGTGCTCAGGAGTTGTTATGACCTTGGCAGGAGTCCGCGTTTCTTCCAACATCCGGCATAGTATATTGTTAAGGTGAAACTCCGGGTGCATCTTGAAGAGGTCAAGCCCAAAATCGAACCCCAAGTCATACCGCCCGCTGTAACCACGACAAGAGCAGCCTACCACTAGACTTGCCTACACCTTTTGAATCATTTGATTTTTGATCTTGATCTGTGAGATCACTCAATGTTACTCAACTCTGAAAACTGCTGAGGAGTTGGGTCAAAATCCAGTGGTCTGAACTATGCGACTGCCCCGAAATTTGGAGGAAACCCGATCCCAGGAATGTGAGGAAACTGGACATGTCTGGTCTTGGCTCATGGGCCTATATGTCCTTTTGTATGAAACCCCTTAAACCCGCTCCATTACATCAACCTCCCCATTCCGATTCCGGTGTGCCAATTCCGGTCAAAAGGGCCACCAGGGCCACGGACTGCGTCCGTTGCCTCGGAGCTCCTTCTCCGACTACAACTCCGAACCGTTGCTCCTCTCGGGGTGTTGTCGCGTCCCGTCTTCCGGGATTGGCCCGGTGCGACCCGGGCGCCTGAGTGGTGACTTTCTTGCTGGCTTTGGCCGACTGCAAAGGGTCTAAGTCTTCACAGAAGACCTCTTCGAGGTCCTGACATCGGAGGCGTTGGGACAGCTGCGGAGACCTTCGGAGACGTCGGGCGACGAAACCGAAACCACCACGCGGAACATTCATGCGTGTGGTTGTTTGGTTGTTTTGGTCGGCGAAGCATATGGCGAACCAAAAGCGGGAGAACAACTGGTTAGTCCTGACAGATCTTTAAAATAGAGCTTCACTGTCTTGTCCTTCCCATCTCATCTCACTGAAGCGAGGGTCTGGACACATGTCTGAGTCTCCTATGGTTTCTCATCGTCTTCAGTACAGGCCACCATACTAATTACTAACCATACTATCTATCTATATATATATATATATTAGTGTTGGGTCAGTCCGTATTGGCTTTGGTCTATGTTGCCAATGATGTTGTGGGAATACAAATTTCTATGTTGTGACTTCTTTGGACATAATTTGGGGTATGTAAAGTTCTAGGATGATGTTGATTATGCAGATTAAAAGGGGCTTTGGAAATGTGTGTGTGTGTGTGTGTTGTCAACTTGATTAAGTTTAAGTCTGTAAGATTCAGTGAGTCAAGGACTCAGAGAATGTTTCAAAGTGTGTTACTTTAAGTTCCTGTGACATGATCATGAAACCAAACCACGAACCCAACATCGAAAACTTTAAACTACAAAACACACACATAATCATACATGTTTCTTGAACTTCATGCGTGAGGCTCGACAACAATTGATTGGTTTCCCGTTCACTTGGACCACAGTGCTTCCGATTCCGATCCCAAACTTGTCGGACTACAACACGAGGTCAACCGTTTCTTTTCATGGTCTTACAAGGCCGGGGCATAGGCTGAAGCCTCACTAGTGTCTCACCCACATCCATATACTCCCGGCTCCTTACTTTACTTCATCACCGCCACCGGGTTCCGCTCTTTTCTCAACAAACCACGCGCTCCTCCATGTTCTCCGAGCGGGTCTCCTGCGCCCCCAGACCGCGGCGACCGGACTGACGGGTCTTCGCCGGGGCTGACGGGACACCGTGAGCCGAGCCGAGCTCCAAAGACACAGAGGCGGGGAAGAACGAAACAAAGACATGGAAGGTTAGGGATGTCCAAACTGGGCTGAGCCTACCTGTTGTGAAGAATGATCTGTCTGTCCCAGACTCTGTGGTTTTGTTGCGGGGCTCAGTGTCCAATGTGTGTTTGGACTTTCTTTGCCAAGTATGCTCAGCCGTCGTCCCTGGTGGGTCTGTCAGCAACTTAGCAACTGGGTTACCAGTCTTCTCTCTATCTATCTATCTCTCCCTCCTCTTCGACCCGATCTTTGAGCTCAACATGACCCAAGCACTGCAGCTCGCCACCCCTCCGCTCTTGGCCATCCCGCGGCCTCCGCCCCCAGCATCCGCCGAAGGGGCGCAGTCACCGTCTCCGGCATCGCCTCTTCGGCCGGTAGCGAAGGGGGAGACGGAAGGGGTGCCGAGGTGCCACAAGCCACGCATGAGGCGGAAAGCTGAGGCGTTTGAGTTGTCCGTAAATATATGGGATTGTGGTGCTTCACACTGGACATACATAGAAAGGCACTTAAACGCATGCTAACGCACCCCAAAGTAACTCCTCTAGAGGTTTTGTCAGCTTTGAAGTTCGGTCTGTCTCTCTCTCTCTCCCTCTCTCTCTCTCTCTCTCTTTTTATCGCCTCTGTCCGCTTGAGAGGCAAAGAAGCCATTTCAGTCCCAAGTCCATCTTTGTAGGTCTCTGAAGCCACTCAAAGTAACTACATTAACCAGCAGTTCCAAGACGGGGTGCGATCCATGGAGGCTAGGGGTGCCCCGTACGTCACATCCACGGCCCCTGGATGGGACAAGCCACACCACCCTTTCGTGACTCCTGGAATAGTTACATGTCCAGGTATAGTCGTGTATACATGGACTTATTGGCATGGGAATGGGGTCCTCCATATTGTTCCACATCTGTTCTTCCAAGCGCCGGCTCTCTGGCCCGTTGTCGCTGTTGCGCTTCGACTCCGGCTCCTCCGGGAAGAGGAGCGTGACCACCAGGAAGAGGTTTCCGAAGTTGAAGGGGTCCTGAAAGGGAGCGGATTCGGATGAAAACCGTTTGCGGATGAAAACCGTTGGCGGATTCGAACTCAAACAGCCTTACGTGGATGAAACGGCCGGCTCCGATTTCAGAGCATGACATCCCAATGACCAAACAGGTGGGGAAAAAGCACTCCACTTCGGTGATCTTCAGGGAACATGTGGGGATTTTTCCATGAACATGCACTCCTTTTGGTGCTTGGCAAATGCGGAGGCCGATGTCGCACCGCCGCCGCTCTGAAAAAAGGTCGACCGACCGCGGTACATGCCGCCACTCCCCGGTCGTTCTCCTCGTGACTACCGGTGCGCTTGTCGAACACCCATCGTTAAAAGGTGCCGATGCGGTGTGGATCCGGAGTGCAAAACGTCACACGTGGAGTCTGTGAATTTTCGGGCAAGTCAGATCAAACGAGCACCTTCCCTTCACCTTCAGGGCCAAAGACCAAAAGAATTCCAGCAAACCCCAGTCAGAACGTCTTTCCAGAACCAAAAGCTTAAACAAAAACATCATTCAATCTTCGTTCCTGGGTTGCTTTCAGGGTAAGACCCCTGATCACGGATAGAAACAATTCAACTTGGGCTTTCACCCAAATGGATCGGGGACGGGACGTCCCGTCTCGCGCACGCCGCGCGCGCCGATCGGCGGCTCCTGATGGATCGGCATACCAGCACCTGGTGCATTTCATATGCCAAATACGACAGTCATGGGAGTGGATTGTATGCCACCCCACCCCTGAAACATCGTGAAACCACAGACTCCATGTATGCCCAACTCCATGGCATACATGGAGTGTCTGGGTATTTAGATATTCCTATTTAACAGTTATACATGGTCAATGGTAATCATGCCTCAGCACCATGGACTTTACGCTTGCTTCAGCTTCCCCTTCCCTCGTTTACGCGATTCACTGAGTCCCAGGACTGGGACCTACTGTAGGCCGGTGTCACCGGTACGTGGCCGGATGTCATGGAGAAAGACGGACTCCCGAGCCGAGACTCCGAGGGAAATCCCTGGGAGAATCAAGGCGTATACGTCAGAGTCATAGGCTTAACTGCACGCTTTTCATGTAGGGGGGAACCCCATCCCCCACCAAAAGGTTTTGCATGTTACGGGTGGGTGTTAGTGTTCCTCTTTCAGAGTTCCCAGCAAAACGCCGGCCGTTCTTTGTGAAAGAACTTAGCACCGGAGGATCCGCCTCAACTGGAGACCAGAATCAACTGCTAGAAGGAAACAATGGGTTGAACAACTTGATTCAAGTCTTGTTCATGTCTTCTATCATAATTATATAAAATATCCTATAGACATAAACAACATAATCCAGAATGTTCAAAACATCTATGATGTCAAACCATGTCAAATGCAACAAACAAACCATTGGCACCATGGGCTGAAAGACTTGCCTTGTTCGGTCCCCGATGTGACACTGCATTTCTCTCCTTACCGCCCACCTTTCACAGCTTTGAGCACCAGTCCACTGTGCCGGGGTCGCAGCACCTGAAATCGGGAAGCTGACTCTCGGTATCCAACAAGGATCTGTTGACGGAACCGGTGTAGTATCCCTACAGGTTCGATGACCTCACTGGAGTTCATCATACAAAAGTGGTAAAAGACCAGGTCTCTGGAAGGCCTGGACTTGTAGGGTGTGTGTGTGTGTCCTCATTCATCCATTTGTGATTTGCAACAAAAACACCAACATATAAAAACAAGGTGTGTGTGTGTGTGTGCTGTTCGGTGGTCGACAGGCGATAAGATGTGGGGTATTGGACGTTCAATGACAACGATGTTTGTCTGCATAATAACTAAACAAGATAACGTTTCTATGTTGACTCCTGTGGAAACCAAATGGAGTTCCACAACAAAAAACACACGCAAACGCATAACACGTGGGTTGCTCCTATGGCTAAATTTAACAATTAGTTGCAGTTCTGGACGACTATAAGTACCTTGCCCTCGCAAAAATCATGCCTTATCACTTATCACCTTCCATTCATTTGCCCATGGACGGGATCCATGCTTGTGACGTTCTATGCACCAAAAAACAACACACAAAAAAGCAACCAGGACCAGGGACCAGGACCCCTCAAAAACCGGTCCTTTTTCGTTCCTCTGCGAGCTGCGGCAAAGTGGTGCCTGGGCGCAGAATGCACGGGGGACCAAACGACACCCCCGGAACAGTAAATCCCCTGTCTTGCGGAACTCCCACTCTGGATTTCCTCTCAGTTTTAGAGCCAACATTTGCCTGGCCTTACTACTAGGAACACAGGACGCTACTAGGGCCTTGATTTACTCAACTCTTTGATTTCCTCTCGGTTTTAGAGCCAGAGCCTGTGTTGAGCCACCGTTTGCGAGTGATCAAGAACATTCCACATGGGTTCACCCCCTCGCCTGCATCTTGCAGTTCGTATTCAAACGTCCTGGCCACGCAGGCAAGCACGAGCTGGAGAGAAATGGAGGGCGAAGCAGGAAATGAAAGCAGGCGACTATTGAATGCTGTTCAAAGACTCCAAAAGGGACTTGGTTGGGGAGTGCTGGCAGAGCTTAGTGACTTAAAGCAGTTTGTTACAGAATGTGTTCTTGGTGCAATCCACAGCATGAGAGTGGGCACAATGTTTTGCAGTGTGTGTTGCTCCGCCTCGTCAGTCATGTTTTGCAGTGTTTTGCATGAACCGTGTTGGATCCTGCAACCCTTCATCACCTGCATGCGGCCCCCAAAGCATGATGTCACCCATGATGTGACCCTGAAACGCTCTGATTTGTTTGGACAAAAAACAACAACTGGGCGATGGAACCAGGGCGTATGCCGTTTGACTCCTTCATTCTGGCACAAAAGAAGGTGTATTTCAGGGGAAGAACGATGTCACCAAGGCGCCCTTGAAAACATAAAGAAAAGGGTGCAAACACAATGGCAAAGGTTCAAATTTTAAAAGCGTCTGTGGCTTTGGAACACGTCTGACACGTCTTGAGCGTGTCTGGGCATGTCGCTGAAATGATGACTTTAGACTTAATTCAATGATGCGCGTGCGCATACTGCAAGGAGATTCTGGGCATGTCACGTGCAACAAACCATGTCTCCCCCAATCCGTCTTCGTCATGCACCACCTGTCTGAACAAACCCGCCACCTGTTGGATCCACCGCCGTTCCCCAGTTCGGGGGGGGGGGACATCATCTCCCTACGCAGGTCATGTGATTTTAGAGCGAAAAAGGACCTGCGATGTCCTGCGTGCCCAACTCATTCATATGAGTGCAGGGTCACGTGCTGGATCTATCACAAACTGTGATGTCTCCAGGCCAAAGTAAGAGGTGATGTCTCCAGCTCTCCAGGCCAGCGACACTTAGGTGAATTCACGTGTGATGACTTGGCCGAACAAACAGCATAACCTTAAAGGTGTGACTTGGCCGAACAAACAGAATGCCTTAAAGGATCCCCCTGTACATAACGGGGTGACCTTGGACACCCCATTCGGGGCTCGAGCACTCCCATTCTGTAGTGGAAATGCACTGGGGGATCTTAAAGGTAAACGTTGGAAAGTTTGGGTTTCGTCGGACTGGATTGGCCTGGTGGTTCCATGGAAGGTTCCCCTGGGTGTCCGTCGGACGGGTCTCGCTCTCGGACGGCTCCGTTCAGAACCCGAGACTGAGACCTGTTCAGAACCCAAAGACCCATCCAAATATACCAGGTTGCGTCCTTGTTACTACTAGTAAGGCACTTCTTACTAGAAGCGATGCACTTGTTCCTAGTAACTAATTAGCTTCTTTATGCTTCTTTGCTCCTAGTATATACAAGGTTCTGTCCCGCAACGTCTGTCAAGATCTCACCAGGACCTCTTTTTCGGTAACAGGGCTGCAACGCCCTCCGTCGAGCAGGTGTTGGGGTATGTCGGGTATGGTTGTGGAGGGTATTGATACCCACCTGAGAATTGAGTTTGGAACATCGAAAATACACTCCCTGGAACTAACATGGAAGTGGAGAATGGCCCCTTGGAAGACCATTTTCCACGACAAACAGGCGGTGGCTTTCCACTAAGAACAGTTCGTTTTCGGGAGTGTAACAACTCTACTTCGACCCAAGAGCCCCTTGTGCTTCGTTCCCTTGGCCTTGGAACCTACCCCCCCACCCTCTCCCGCCTCTCTGCGCCCGCCAGCGCCACTCCCGCGCCCTCACCGGGTCGGCGCCGTTGTCTCCGGATGGCCAGGGCTGCCCCAACACCGGCCGCCAGCAAGACACCCACGGCCAGCACCACCAACACAACACCAGCTGGCCAGGTGGCCTTGGCGTGACCACGACACCAAAGAAAGGGGGGTCACATCATACTGTGGCAGTTCCAAACATGGATATAGAGTATTGTTGTAGTGCTGTACTGTGACGTGTGTGCGTGACATATTTGGAGGGTTGCACCACAAATATCTGACATCATTGCTTGAGGTTTATGCAGGATCTTCCTGTCAGTGCTACATGATCCCGTCCTTGCCAAGATCAAATGCTCAATATCTATAGCAACTACAGCCTCAACGTCTAGTATCTACTAAAGTGATCTAAAGTCTATAGCTATAGTTTCATCCTCTCAACTACGTGCTATCCAAACTGGTTCCTAAACTTGACCCAAACACTTTTCGCTTTGCTCGTTACCCAATCCCATCTCCAAGACTCTCACCTTCTGCTGACCATCTGGCTGACTATCTGTGTGCGTCTTCGAGTGCGACCTCGACCGTGCGTGCTTCTTGGAGTCGGGTTGAGCATCCGTGGCAGCACATGGCCTGGCGAGTCATGTCAGTTCTCAGCGAAGTGGGGCGGGTGAAGTCAGGTCATTGCCTACCTTCGGAGGTTAGGTTTTTGATGGTGTTTGGATCCAATCCAAAAGAGTACAGTACCTACTTGCAATATACATTATCATACTGAGAGTGCATAGGCGCGATGATCATGCTGGGAACAGGGAGGAACAGGCGCCTACAACGCTGAAAAGCAAATCCAAACATCCAGGGCCAAGATCTACATGCCCTTACATGGATTTGACCCATTCATGGTATTACACTCCCCAGAACTTACGAGCATGTAAATTCCCCAGGAGTTGAACAGCAGCAGGTAACAATACCAACTAACGAGGAATAAGTTTTTCGTAACAAGAAACATGACATGCAAACGCTCCAGTATTTTTAACGAGGAAGTTGGTTGAACAACTGTTCCTCGTAAGTTCTGGCGAGAGTAACATAGAGTATAATAGGATGTAATAGGTATACGACTCTTCTTCCATATCAAGTGCGAAGTAAATCGTGAAACACCAATACCCAAGTTTGTAGAAGCAACGAACAAGCAGGAGCAAGAACTTGTATCCAGCATTCAGTCACACAAGAACCTCCTGGTATGCGTGTGTGTACACCCTGGAATCACGGGCCTCTGCACAGTTTCAATGATTTAGAGGAAGGGGGCACGGCGACCGTTCGCCTAGCTGTGCTAGCACAACGTGTTCGGTTGAATGGATGAGATACTGGACTCAGTATCTTGCACCTGCTGTGTGTCTCTCCTGGGCGCATTTAAGCCGCCAATCTCAAGTGTATGTCTGTGTCTGTCTGCCGCGCAAGTATGCTAGCCAACAACATGTCTTGCTATAAAAGCCTTGGTAACCATGTTCATGTTCTACATGTCCGTTTTCTACGTGGCATGTATACGCTATACCGGCTATACCCCACCCCCCACCCTCCTCACATCATACGGTACATGCTACAAATTGCTCCTCATGTCTGTTGTCTACGTAAAGAACAACGAAAGTACCAGGTGCCCTGATGAAGCTGGTAACTACTTGGGCAATTTTTCGATATGTCTGGATGTTTGTGCAAAGGTGATTGTCCGGAACATGAAACATCATGAAACATACCTTTCGGCAATCCAGATCCACCAACTGCAAGCTGCCGTCAGTCCATGTCTACCCAGCTGCCGTCCGTCAGTCCATGTTTTCCTGGCCTGTTCTCGGGCCAGGGCTCACTGTCTTCATAGATGAGGGGTGACATCCCGCTCTGGCCTCTGCACTGAGCAAAAAGACAAACCCGGACCTCGCCTTGGACTGGGGATGTGAGGGTGATGAAGGGGGGAAGTGACTGGTCAGTACCCTCCCAAAAATTGTCCAGGATCGTCTCACGGCTGCGACGACACTGGGCGACGGGCGGGCTTTTTTGAAACGCCACCCGGGAAACGCCATGGCACCAGACTTTTGGGACGATCTTCTGACGTGTTGAATCCATCTCAGGTTCCATCTTTGGCTCGAAAAAACACCTCATCAGACTGGTGATCTGGTCAACAAAACCGATCTCCATGGGCTCTGGAGCTCCGTTGTGTGGAACCACACACCGCGCCTAGCCAGCGGCCCACAGCATCCGCCAGCATCTCTCCCTCTTCAGGGACCTGGCGCATCGTTCTTGGGCCAATGGGTGACTGGAGGGATAGGCACAGGCTTTTTGACTCAGAGTCACTATGCGGAAGTGGAAAAGAACATGTCATGCTTGTCATGCTTGTAAAGGAAAGTCAGGTTGTTTGAATCAAACCTGTTGCCCACATCCCACTTCTTTGTTGAGAGTGCCGACTTTCCAAACTCCTGGCTGAACCCCCAAAGACGATGTTTGACAATCAACATCAACTGCATGTATATATATATATATATCATGTATGCTGTATATGATTTGATTAATTACACATGGTCACATGATCTCTAGGCATTTGATCCTTCAGATGTGGTCCCCTGGTCACGCTCCTTTTTGGTCAGGAGATCTCGCCACCGCCATGCGTCGACGCGTCAGCGGCAGACCCGTCGACTGGCGCAGTCACTCCACTCGCAGTCGACTTCAGAAACTCCTTGTTCCATTGATCTGTGTAGACCTGCATGGCTGGAGAACCCTGTGGCCCTACTGCCCTGGCCCTGGCGAGACTCCGGCGATGCCAGCAGATCGGATTCTGGACCTATGGAAATCGCACATCACCACCATCACCTTCAACCTGCTTAAACCCTAGGGATCCAAGTACCTCCTCAAAAAGGTACTTGGATCCTTAGGGAAATGACTCAAGCAATTCAGTGGGACATTTGAGAGCAGCGATTGTGGATTGACCGATTGAGGCGTCTGCACCCAAGCGTGGTGGCTTCTGAGGTTTTCTGATCCAAGAACCACGCGTTGGAGGGTCCTGTGTTCCAGACATACTGGAGCCCTTCCAATCTAATTTTGTGTTAACCACTTAGCATAACTATGATGGTTTTGCACAACAAAAACAACTATACTAATACAAAAAGCAAAAGCACAAAAGCAAATCCACAAAGCAAAAACATGCACATGAAAAAACAAAATAAACAAATAAAATCCAAAAAGCAAAACAACAAGCACATGAAAACGCAAAAGCAAAATTCAAAAAAAAAAACAACAAAATAAGCAAATGAAAAAACAAAAGAACAAACAAAAAACTAACGAAACAAACAGCAAAAAAAACAGCAAATGAACAAGCAAAAAGCAAAGAAAAACAACAAGGCACACACACACACAACCAAAAAAAAACAACGAAAAAAGTGAACAAACAACATCGAAAAACACATGACACAAATGCAGAAACAAACAAACACATGCGGGCAAGCCAAAAAAAGAAAAGCGAAACACACACACAAAAAAAAAAACATATGTTTTCGATGTTTAATTATATTTCTTGCTGTTGCTTTTTCATTTGCATTGTTTGCTTTTGCTTTTTCATTTGTTTTGTTTTTTGCTTTTGCTTCACTTGCATTTTGTTTGCCTTTTTTCTATGTCCAAGATTCTCAGAGTTAGCCTCGGTTCGGCGAACGCAAATCTAATTATCTTAGACCCTTCGCAGCGGAGGTTGGTCCGAACAAGCCCAGACCATCCAACAAACAAGCTATTTTTCCCTTCAGCTCAGGAACCACCAAGGCTCCATCCATCAAGACTCGAGAGTAAAATGGAATTTGTTGCTCTTCGCGCTCCATCCAGTCTCCAAGCAATCGCAGCAAGGTCCGGTCCTTCCGATGCTAACATCGGACCGAAGACGACGCGGACGGTCACCGTTTTTGAGCGACCGAAGACGGCTTGAAGGCGACGGCTTGAAGACGACCGAGCCATGTCTTCTTCGCTGGCTCCTTGGACAAATGGTTACTTTCAGAAGTGAGCGCCGGAGCTACGTCACTTGGTCGAAAATCCATTGGATGGTTCTAAGACCCACTTATTACATAAAACATAAATAATCAAAAATCATAAATAGCTGTGGGCTGGGCGGGGAACCCTCATGGAGCTGGGCTGCTCATGGAGCTCTCTGAAAAAAGAAAAGATCCAACCCGTGTCCATGGGCTCTTGTGGCTCTTCGTCCAAAGAATCAAGCATGCCCAGCAGCTGCTCGATGACCCTTGGCAGAAGAATCCAGCGGCTGAAAGAGTGTATCCACTGGGAGCACATGAACCATCGAGTGTATCCTCTGCCCTAAGACATTACAATGAATCCTTTGGTGGTTCAGTGATGTGATTTTCTTCCGTGGCAGTTGAGTCCAAGAACGGTGTTTTTTGGCACCTGTGGAACGGCGGTGGAGGAAGGAAAGTCAAAGCGATGGTCGGACGGGAGGTCCACACAATGCCACTGCAGTACTTGGACTGCCCCAACGAATAATAGAATACAATCAAATGCGATATGTATATGTATTTTCCTTATTTTCTATATCATTTCTTTTTTCCACCCCTCTGCGCCTGTGTTTTTCCTTTTTGACCACATGTTGGGTCGTTTGTCGTCCTTTGGTTTCACTTGGTTCTCACGAGCACTGTAATATTTAACATGACCACATTGCACATGTACAAGTAGTCTCCCAATTAGATATAGAACCGTCTTTCAACTGCTTTCAAAACATATAGAGTGAATTCGCTGTTCTGTCTGACTGTCTATTCAGGTCCCATCGTAGTGCTATAGCTCTACATCCATCAAAACGGTGCCATCCCTTCACGTGGCCGTTCACCCTGACCTCCGTTCGGCCGTGTGGCGCATCGCCACGTGCCCAGATTTCCTCCATGAAAGGCAGCTCTGCCTCGTTTTTAGACATCGAGCGCGACCTCAGCAAATTGGATCTCGGCCGGGGCGTGGCGCGGTGGCGGCCGACGTGGAGAGGCGTTTCGTGTCCTGCCAATGACTTGAGGGAAGCCCGGATGGAAAACAACAACCTCTCCAAAAAGCATGAACATGCTTTGAGATTTGCGCATGTGTGACTTGTGACCCAAGTGCTTCCAATTGATGGTACTTCCATACATGGAGGTGTGGACCCCTATAGTTAGTGCACCTGAGATACAAACAATAAATCTATTCTGCGTTCACTCCAAGCGAGCGAACGCTGTCTTCATGGTGATATTGATATAATGCTCTATTGATCTCTATCGGCATCTCTCTCTCTATATATATTGTTCTATTTATTACCTAGAATCTAGTCCAGAATAGTACATTGGTGAATTCCTTCTGGTGTGATAAACAGCAGCAGCCCTAGCTTTGCAGAAGCTTCATTTACCCAGAGGCAAATGCGATTCCTTCCTTGTTTTGGAAGGCATGCCTCATCGGCCCTTTTTCCAGGAGACCCATTTTTCTGAAGTGGGTATTTTTGCCCCAAGAGACATGTACTTCTGCTCATCAAGGAATCTGGCCAGGTTTTCTTGGAAGACCGACATGGCTTCCTTGGAGCTGGGGAAAGATCAAAGCCTCTCCGCGTGCTTGCTAACACGCCTTACTACTAGGAACAAGAAGCTACTACTCGAAACGGGGCTCCTGGCATCGATCGGATGCGACTCGAAACGGGGCGAAGGTGGCCTTACTGTCACCTCGTACCTTTTGAGGCTTTTGAGGAGGTACTTGGATAGCTAGGGTATGATTATTCTGTTCATTTTGGGTGGGATACAAAAAAAAGGGTCCCCCGGTGCTGACCCACAGCCAGAACCGGACGATACGGACTTCACATCCATGGCCTGCTGGCTGCTGTAGAAAGGGCGGGGCACAGCGTTCTCCGAATATTCCACAGGCTCTAGTAACAAAACAGAACATTGAACCAAAAAGCTCAAGCATGGGGTGGGTTCAAAGACTGCTAGAGGATGTACTTGGATGTCATTGAAGGTCAGTCGTTTAAGCATTCCTCATCACCACCTGAGCATTATGTTCAATATGTTCAATACTTAGGACATTGCTCAACTTGACGGGCCTCACGAAGAAGTGTCACGTCCAAACAAACATCAAGAGGTGCTAGTGTTTCGTCGCTTGGGGGTGTTAGTTGTGTTTGTGTGTGCGTGTCCGATTGTATGGCAGTACTGGTAGTGGGACACACCCTATAGATGTTAGTCCACATCTCCTCCCAATGATCAATCCCTGATATATGGCGGACTTCGAGACGAACACCTGAAAGCGCCACCAACAAACGTCCTTGGGAGGGGTGTTTAGATGTGTAGAAAAGACATAGATATGTTTTATGTGCGACAAAAAATACATATAGATTCCATCCAGTCTTGTAATTCCCACCTTGAAACTAGGTTATGCAACCCAGGATTTTTCAACAAAAGGAAGGGGAGGCCTCTCAACAGGTCAGCAAGAGAAGAGATGAGAAGACGGAAACAACTTAGCTTGCCAACGTCTTTGAGTTTAGTCACGTCGCATCGAATGTGGTGTTTTTATTCTAAGAAAACCTGAGTTCTCCCTCCCCCAGCCTCAACCAGTTCTGGACAGTCTTGGAAACCAAGGCTATCGGGATTTGCCCCCATCTGAGATATCGCTTGACCGCCCGGCCGAGGCTTTTTGCTCACGATTCGATGTTCTCAGGTGTTGCATGTGCTGCTCCGGCTTCGGAGCGACGGTGCCAGTACTCGATGTTGCCAGGCTTCCACGAAACTGCCACCCGCCTTCCGCTCTTCAACAGCGCTTCTGACGGCCGAGCGCCAGCAATGGGACAGAACAGCCGTGTGTTCGAGGGCGGTGTAGAAAGGCTGCGTTCCTGGAGATGCAAACACCGGTTCCCGAAACCAAGAGGCAGTCTGACCGTGTTGCTTGCAGACAGGATCTGGAAAAAAGAGGTACAGTAATAAGGACGTTTGCAACCTGGAAACTCGTGAACCCTCTCAAAGTGTTGCACACAAGACAAAAGACCTTGGAGTCATTCCAAAACGCACCGTCAAACGGCTTCATCGTCCCACATGTCTGTGTCACCGTCACCACAAACAAGAACATCACAGATAGTGCACCTCTTCAAAAGGCGAAGTGGCCTTGCTATCAGAACAACATGAGAGACGTCACCACCCTCAACCATGCCGGCCACCCGGCGTTCGGCCACTGGCCACCCGATCATCGTGGTGTTCGATCCAAGAGACTGGTCTTCGTGCAGCAGGTTGACCAACCAGGAAGTGTCACCGGTTGCAGATGGCTCTGGTTTGTATGAATACAAGTTAGTGCAAAGATAGTGTCAAGATAATGCAACGAAAAACAGATGGATCTGGTTGTGTCAAGATAGTGCACATGTGGAATAACTATGAATACAACGATACAACGACATGTGGAATAACTATGAATGTGGAAGAAACTAAAGGACAGGATATCAAACAAAAAAACATGATGTATATACAACAATGAAATGCATTACTGCCACGAAGCGCATGCATGTGGTTGTTGGTCTTGGCAGCACGATTTGCTGAATGAAGGCGTAAAAATATTGATGTGTCCAAAACAGAATCAAATATAGAGACTCAAAGGTGTTATAGGCTCGTCTATACCAGCTGACAGAGCAGTCATTGCTACGTATATCACCTCCCAAAGAACATCGATCTTTTGGTGTATTCTTTGTCGTCTCAAGCCCGAGCTTCTTCCAGGCCCCAGGGCATTAGAGTCGAAGATGATTCGGTGAGAGAGCTTCCGTGTAGGGCAAAACCAATCCCCTGAGGCCGGCTGCGCGTCGTCCCTTTCAGAGTCAGTGATTCTGAGTCGTCCGCGCTGTTTGAAAGGAACGTGGGGGGAAGGGGACGGGGAGGGGGGGGAGCATTTCTGCGGATGTCGGCGGCATGAGAAACGATCTGAAAATTGACTTTTTGAGGGAGATAACATCACCTCTTTTATCTCTTTGGGGGACAGTCGAAGGATTCTTTCTGAACATGCAGCATCAGTTTGGATGGGTCAGATGAGGGACTGATGATATACCGTTAGTATCCGCGAACAACCTTGCAATGCCGTTTTGTTCAAAGGAATCTGATCACCTGCTCAGTGACTGGGAGCAACAAATGCAGCAAAAGCAACAAACACCTTTGAAGTGAGGGGTTTCGGGGAAAACAAGAACACATTTAACGCATGTCATAATTTAACGCATGTCATAGATCCCTCGGCTTCGGCAAGGGACAACATGGGACAAGGGACATCCACGCTTCGCCTACTTCGTGTGATTCCTTCTGGAAAGAGCGGAATTGAAACCTCCTAACCTGACCTGACTCACCACATTCTGCCTGAGGCGAACGCAGTCCTAACGCAGCTCCTGCCCTTCTGTGGAAATCAGTGGTCTCACCGACTTGCCGGCTGCCCGGCCGGCCAGGCCCATCCCACTCCGAGGTATGGCTCCGTGCGTCGCCCCGCCCTCCGGTGCGGGAAGAATGGCTCCTTTCCCCAAAAAAGCGAACGTATGGACCCTGAACATGGCCCCTTGGAAAGACTGCTACACAAACTAGTGGTTTTCAGGGTCCATGTTAGTCCACGGGGTGATTCCTTCCATCTGGCTAATTTCTTCCATTTGTGTGACATATGATGCCCTGCGGATCCGCCCCCCACCAGCCCAGAAACGCCTTCGAAGCCTTGCCACGCGTGGTGATTGATCTCGTATTTCTTCTCAGTCCAAAGAAACATGGTGCACTGATCGACAAACAGTATTTCGTGGAGATATATGGTGCACACGGTCCATACAATATGTGATTTTGTGGAGAACTTCTCATACTGTTGGACCGATCTTGGAGAAATCCTCGCCATTCCACACTACAAGGACGATGTAGGTGGCTACCTCCTGCGATGGTGGCTTAAGCGTTCTCAGAGTGGTGCTTTGCTAGTCCCAATGTCAAAAATGCAGCCTGAGACAGCCTGAGGGCGGCAAAACACTGACCTCTAAGCGATGCATTTCTTTTCGTGCATCCACCGATATCAAACGAGTTCTCGCCTGTGAATCTTCTTGAAGGCCATCGCTAGTAGGTTGGAGTCGGTTGGAGGCCATCACTAGTAGGTTGGAGGCCATGATTTGCCCCGGCCCGGTCCTCTTGTATCTAGATCGCACCCAAGACCTCAGGTACCTCCAGTCTCAGCCTTCTGAAACGAAAGGAGGAAGGAAGTGGCACAGATCCTGCTCAACTATCCTATTGAGAATTTGGACAATACACATAGCATAGGAATATATATGTCCTTTCACAATACATGGCATTCCTATTGTAAACTCAAAGTGAGCCCATAAAAGAACTGTCACCAACGAATCACCACTTCTAAACGGAATCAGGACCGTCCACCACTTCCCCTGCAAATTCGATGTAAAATGATTGTCAATGACACACGTCTGGCAAAGGCTTGGGAACTCCCCTCTAGACACCTCTAAGCCCGGGTGGAGGCCCCTCTAAGCCTGGGCTTCATTCGCGTTAGCAAGCGATTTCACCCAGGCAAGCGCGGGGATGTCCGAAAAGTGTGTCATTGGCAAACCTATTTGAAGCACGGTTTGCCGTTCAAACACTCCAGGCCAATGGAAGCAATCTAGGCGCGGAACGTGAAGGCTACCATCATCTGCCATCCATATGGTCTTGAAATGATTCACGTCTCCCTAAATCCGACCTCCCCAAAAACCCGAATTGAGATCTTCCGTGTTTCCACGTTTCCTCGGCCCATCCTCATCTTCGATCCCAGGCGCCAAGGCTCCGCCCACCGCGAAGTTGGGCGGCAGCGAGCGGAAGGCCAAGCGCAGGTTCACGCCACCCGGCGGAAGAGCGGTGCCCAGAGAAGTCTTGGGCGGAGAGCGCCATGCCTTGGACTTCGGATGAGGGCTCTGTGCAGAGCTGATTGAAAAGCGCAGGGCTGATTTCACCGCAGTGATGGATTTCTGATGTCATTTACGAGGGTGAGTAAGCGCAGTGCGTAGAAGGGTTGATGGCATGGCTCAGGTGTGGGATGGGTGTGGAACTCCTGGTTGCAAGGTCAAGAATTGCAACTGTGCGGCGCTGATGGGCATTTGCAAAGCCTCCCAAAAGTCCGCGGGAACGAGGGCCCGTAGCTCCTGAAGCCACGGGGAACTTGAAGCCTTGAGGCGATCAATTTGCCCCGCCAGGACTGGAGATGTAGAACAATCCTCTGGTTGGAATTTTCAACTCATTAGTGGGTTCAATCATCCCAAGCAACGGATGAACATAAATATATAGACATATCCAAAAGCACCACCTAGTCCCAGAAAAGGGGTCCATGATGTTAGCAGCGTTGTGCCTTTTTGGAAGCTGCTTGGCTGCCGTAGGTGACACACGTGAAATCAGCTAGCCAACTCTGCCAGCTGGGCGCTTGGAGGAGGGCTATATAGTACAATTATAGTACATGATCATTTTCATTCCATGGCTCTGCTTTCCCCTCGCCATGTCATGAACCAATGGCAACCATGATCATCATTTGAGTCCTGCAACCCCATTGTGGAAGGAATCGGCTTTTTCAGGTGCCAAATGAGACCGCTTCACAGCCATGCCGACGATGCGTGTCCGCAGTACACAAAAGGATGGTATGTGTTTAGGTCCTCTCCAGGTGGATCCAGGTATTCTAGTCAACTCCCTAGTCGGGAGTATCACAGAATTCGATCCGAGCCACAAAGCAACATGGACCCCGTGGACTGGCTCTGGGCTCAACTGTCAATATACCCAAGGTGCCATAGAAGAAAAAAGAAGGAGCTGCTGGCAGCAGCCTTTTTTAATAGGATTTCTTTGAAGGTACTGTACACATCATGCGATTCTTGTTCAAGGGTGTTCAAGGCATGTTCATTCGGATTTTTCAATTTATATGGTGTTTGCCCAGAAAAAAAACACTTCGCCACCATCAACGACACTTCCGTCTGTTTCGTCCTCCAAAGAGTCTGCTGTTTTGATGTAGGAACCGACAAAGCTGTCGTACTCACACGAGCCGACTGCCTGCAGTGGGCGGGGCGGAGCGGGTTCTGGCCATGACCCCACGCCCACGAACGGGACCTCTAAATCGCCTTTTTTTTTGGCACAGAAAGGAACCAGATTCTTGGGTTCACTTTTACAATATCTTACAATTTCGTTTGTTTTATCTGTCAGGTCAAGCCTTTGGAAAAAAAGGCTCCGGAGCATGAGCATGCCTCCAAAGTGTCCTGCCAGAAAAAGGGGTAAGTACCAGTACCTCGAGTTCTGACGCTCCGTGGAGCAACCCGAAGCACTCTGTCCGTTTCCCGCTTGGAGCGCGGTCCGTGCCTCCCCAATGTGAGCGCAAAGGCATAAATATCGCCCATCCTTCAACAACAGCAACGCCCCAACCGCGCTCTGGCCATCGCCAATCCACATGTAGCTGGCCTGAAGAAAAGCTAGCGTTTAAGGGTCATGAGAGGTCATGATCTAGAAGAAGTTGACTAGATACCACTGTCAGGTAATAGGGACACATCTCCAGTTGTGGTAATTACTAGTAGCTGGGTAAACCATGGTATAAACCACTTGCAAAAGGACACTGGAAAAAGACAAGGACACTGAGCCATCAGACTACTCGCCCGCGGGGGGGGGGAGTTTTCACGGTCTATATGTACCTAGCCATTCCGCAGCAACAAACCAAGCGGGCAAAGACCCCCGCTGACAGGGATTTCGGGTCCTGCTGAAAAAGATTGAGCCCCTTCTTCGTCCCTGCGGTTTTAGAGATCGACTTCACCTGCATGGGTTGGAGGTCACATGAACTTGCCATGGAGTGACCATCGAGTTGGGTTCCTGGCAATTCGGTTGGATGCATGGGTAGGAGAGGGAATTCCTCCATGCAGCCCAAATGGCCGTCAATCCATGACCTTTTGCGGAATGAATCCCTATTCATTAGACCAAATGTCCTTGCCAGTAACCCGGACTTTAGCCACAGCCTGAGCTTGACGCTGGTCGTACTCACAATTCCACATGATACATATTGACGACGGATTCATTCCAGCAAACTCTTGCAACGTCTCCCGTGCTTGTGGGATTTATGAGTCTTACAACAACCGCATGACTATTGTTTGTCAACTTCTCAGAATGTCCCGCTCAACAGAAATCCACTCCCCCTTCTCCACCCAAACAGGCCCCTGAACCAATCAAAATGAAACAAAGGTGACGTGTGTATTAAAAGTAGGGAGACCTCCCCAGGCAACGACCCCCTGGAAGTTTGGGGAAATAGACCAGTCTACCCAGCCAGGGCCAGGGGGTCTTCGTATTCAAATAAACACCCACATGGCTGCGATCCAAATGAACCGATTTCTGTGTCTTTGGGCTGTCAGCCCATGGGGGACCTGATGGGGGAGGTGGGGGTTTCTCACAGCCTGCAGGGCGAGCACCATGGCGATATCCGCTTGGGTGATGTCGCACAAACTCTTCCTCAGCTCCGCACAAGCCGCGGTGACGGAGAGGACGGTGGTCGAGCGTGGGCCCCGTGGGCGGACGAATCGAGGACGTGGCTGCTTGGTCCACCTGCACTAAGGGGTCTCAACATGAACGGATTCACAAGGCTTCTGGCAGCTTCAGGAACTAGTGGTGCTGAAGATCGCTTGCAACCACTGTTGCTGTTGCTCTTGCTGAGAACCTTATCTATGATAGCCTCTTGCAATCTCACACTTGGTTCGGGAGACTGAAACCAGTGGTTTGCTTAACACTTCGACGCTGCAAACAAGCATCCATGGCACAAAATCCTCCAACATCTCCTCAGTTGACCAGCGGACAACAGAACGGTTCGAAGTTCAAACTTTGTTGTGGGAAGACCCACACAAGGCGGAATCGTACTTTTCATTCAATCGGAACTAAGGTGTCGCAATCCATGTAGATGCAATGCTTCTCCTAATTAGGTTGACTAGATCCGCAGAATCAGGGCATCTTTCGGCATGTTTCTTCTCAATTGTTCAAGACTTTGCCAATGCTCTATTGGCGAGATTACATTGTACGTACCTGTTCCGCAAGTACGAACACTTCCGCAAAGCAACTGGCCACCGGTCATCGAGCTCGCTCATGTTGAGTGTTTTTAATTTGTTTTCTTTCTTGGAGGAAAAGACTTGATTCACAGCAAAAAACCATTCATGGGTGTTCCTTACAAGGGACTGTTCACAAAAAAAACGTGGAGACCATGGCAATGCCTATATATTAATCCAGTCAAAGGGTCCCACCAATTCCCTCTGAAAACCGTTCCTGCGGTTTGGCTTTCTCCGCTCATTCGCGTGGATATGCTTAAGGAACCTGTTAAAAAGATATATCAGCAAAAAAGGAACCCGAAACCCCCAGAAGGCGGATTTAACCATAGGGAAAAACAAACATCACTCGCTGGTCAGACCGGTCACTCGCTTGTTCGGCTTCGGGGGCGAAGAAGTTTCTCTCCGAAACTGATGGACTTAGTAGTAAAAAGAACTCTCAGAGGGTGATTGGGTCTCCACTTGATGATCATGGACATTCCCTCGCAAATCACACATGAAGCGAAACCGTAGTCAGCAAAAACCAACGATGTGTGTCTTTTTAGTCTTGCCTCGGTTGTCCGGGTCCGAACTCGTTGGCTCCCGTTCTCCGCACTCAGGGAGCTTAGCTGAACGCCAAAAACGGAGAACGACGAGGCCAAAAGCAGGCCCAGGCCCGTCGTCTTTCGAAGCTGGTGATGACATTCGTCCAGTCGAACGATCCAACGATTCGATTCGGGATTCGTTGGGATCTCGCTGTGAATAGAGGTGCTCAAATACAGCTCTAGGTGTTGGTCCGGTCTGCTTGGAACACACTCGATGTAGAGGATCAAAAAAAAGGAGAAGGTCCTAAGGAGTCTCAAGGATAGGACTCTTAAATCTGCTTGTCATACATCTAGAAGCTGAAGCAAACATTGATGTTTCCTGACTTCTCCCCATGCCTATGTTTGGAGCCACGAAGAACTTGATGCCCATCGCCACGGGCGTAAAGCGCTTGTTGTCGAGTATCGAAGCTCAAGTGCTTGTGTTCCAGCACGGGCCCTTCCTCATCCTTAAGTTGCGGTGGTGAAGAGGAAAGTCGCAGGCCACTCACAGAGCCTGGGTGTTGGGTGTCACTGTCAAGCTATGGGAACCTATGTATCCCCATAGACCTCCGCTGTGACGAAGTCAACCGATGTCACATGTTGGAAATGGTTGCCTCACTGCTCAGAAAAAAGGAAAGAACACAAACACAGCTGGCAAAGGTGTGGAACCCATGTGGGCTTTTTCAGAACCTAAGTACCTTGAGGAAAATCGACCTCCTTGACTCTCAGTGTCCGGGAAACAAACACAAACAAACACATACGATTCTCAAGAACATGGCAATCAAGAGCGCTGGACATGCAAGGGCATCACAGGTTTGTTATTGCCAGCCTTCCTTGTCACAACACATAATGCACAGGTGACTTGTGCAATCAAAGCGCTGTGAACGCTGCGTAAATGAAGCCCATTGAATGAAACCATGCATAATGCATTTGGAAAACATCCTCGTGCGCACTCTATCCTGCAAGTAAACGCTATGGTGTTTCAACTTCCGCATCCCCTTCTATCTGCTATTCAACCAAAAACACGTCACGACTTCAACAACTGGCAGTATGCCAGAACGACCACGAGCATATTTGAACCCAACCAGTTCAAAGAAACGTCCTGATCCTGGTTGCTAGTGTGGTGGAATCCACAAGAGCATATGGCCCAATCCGACCCCACCGAATCCGATCTGAGGGCCGCTTTCGGCGTCGGAATTCCGGATCGGTCGACTGGTTCGAGCGGGTTCGGCCCAGGCCATCGGCCAGTGGCTTCGGTGGATCGGTGAAGCAAATCGGTGGACAAATCGGTGTAGCAAGTGTCACTGGAAGTGGTTGAAAGTTGAAGAAAAGAAGCATGCAATGGACCATTCCCTCGGAAAGTCATACCTGGAGCATTCAATGGAGATCCCTAATTTTATCTAGTAGTCAAGGTGGTTTATATATATATATATATATATGATTGTTTAAACACCCAGGATGGTCGTTCTATATACGTATATCATCCCCACCTCCCTGTCACAACATCCGAGCATCGGCATCATCCCCATACTTTTGCGCTAATTCACCCATGATCCTTGTCAGGGTGCGGTGCTACGTCCCAGGTCGTCAGCCTTCTCTGGGTGGGCCGCACCAACAGAGTGACACTCCCTGGAGCCGTTAATGGCAGCCCCCTCTTTGTGGAGGAACATCTTCTTCCGAAATCGGGTGCCGTTTCAAGGAAAAAGACACAAACTGTCACCCAGTCACGGCAACTGTCACTGACCCTGCACATGTGTTTTGTCTCCCATGAGTTGTTGCCGTTCTGAACATACACTCACTTCACAAATCCAAGTTCAGAGACTTGCCCACTGAGTTCAACCTGAAGAGTACAGATATGCGACTTGGTTGGATTCCAATGGTTCTCCAGTCCAAGATATTCCAAGAACCTCATGCTGAGTTGCAGTCATATCAGTTTGTCCTCATGTTCCCTCGTGTTCAAACGCCCTACCCGAATGCGCGGGACACAACAGTGCACATCAATTCCATCTGTTTGGACAACTAAAAAAAAAAGTATATATATATAGTTTGAAATCCTCCAGATCTCAAAGCCTCCAGCTTCTTCCACAGCGTTTCCGACCAACCGAGAAACTCGTGGACAACGGTGTCGGTGGCATTCCATCCATCAGAGCCTTCCTGAGATTTGCTGGTGGGAACAATTTGCTGGGGGGAACAAGTGCACAGTTTCTGAAGCAGTGAAGAGTAGGTTCCAACTAGCTGAAGAACATCTCACTTCCCTCTAGCATACTATACCGTACAAGTCCTCAGGGAACGTAGGACCTGCACTACAAGCAGGATCAAAGGTCCTTCAATCGACTAAGACTGTCCTATTTACGACACCACACATTCAGGGGCGGGTACTGCCACGAGGAGACCTCCAAAAATGCTGGTTAGGAGATCTCCCTGATTAAAACAAAACAAACCCCCCACAATCCATAAGCTAAAAAAGCTGCTCAACATGGCAGCCGCGTTAGGGAGCATGAGCCTCCTTAGCGCCTTAGGGCTCCAACGAACACCCCAACTCTGGGGTTTGGGAACGTCAAACAGGACAGCGGTTTGTGTTTTATGATAAACCCCTTCAAAAAAAATTAAAACACACACACACACACAACAAGAACAACAATGTTCTCGGCAAATGGTCGCCTTGACATGATCAAATGAAACCATACGATCAAATCCCTCCCTCTCTCTCTCTGGACATATATATATATATACATACACAGGTTATGCATGGTTATACTGCTTTACTTACCGCAAGCGCACTCATAGACCAGTGCAGTGTTCCGTTGATTTCTTGCAAGTTGATGTATACGACTCATATCACACACTCGGCGCTGCCATGGGGTGCTTGAGGGCGTGTGAACAAGCAAGACTGAACATTCATCATGTTGCTTCGTTCATCTTCGGTCTAGTGAGCCTCATCTGTGTCGCAATATAGTGTGATCAATTGATTTATATAATAGTTTATAGGATATTATCGGATCTCAATAAGTCGTCAAAATACCGATCGTGTCACCACCAGAATCCGTTATTGTTACGCCGGGGCCGGAGGAACAACCGCATGTTTGCTGTCTGGTCTCTGGGTTGCAATCAAAGATGAAGCCTTTGGTGATGATCCAAACCTAGGCAGTTCTGGCAGGTGGACGAGTGGATGATGGATACTGGGTGACCCGGACTCCACTGCACGAATCGCCCAAGGACACCGAACCACGATTCTCGATCAGCTGTTGCATATCCAATATCTATCTGCAAGGCCGGCTGCCATGGACGTTTCCAAGACCTGAACTAGGTCCCTGTAGTGGTACATATGGGATGGGCTGTTATGGGCTGTTATGGACTGTTCAACCTCTCTTGGTTGTAGGATGATGTAGAATGCCTGCTCTTATCCAGCACACCAGTGAGTGGTCGTGGCCTACGGGTAAGGATTCTTACTTGGAGACCCTCGAGCCTTTATGGATGTAAATTTCCCAGGTTTCAAAAAGAGTGCTTGAAGACTGGGCTGGCAAACTATTGAACAAATCTATATATAGCTGATTGGGCTGCACAACACTTTCCGGCAGAACTTCCATTGGACACCTAGCAGCACAAATGGTCACCTATCCGCTCCTATAGCTACTCCACGCCTTCCCCCCCCGGTGGCACGTCTTCCCCCGCTCTACGTCTTCCCCCCCGCATGGCGCCCAGGTACGATGAGCGGACTCCGATCGAACTGCCTGAGGGCCAATGCCACGGATTTGGCCGTGACACTTTCGGGCAGCTCTTCCAGTGGCTGCAGTAGCTTGCTGAGGCCGGGTCGGCGTGTTAACGTAATACACGGTGCGCCTGAGTTCGCGCAAGCGAGGACCGAAAGGAAAGGAAGATGAGAACACCGGACCCCCTGTTGAGCTTTAAGGTAGTGTTTATGAGAGCTCCACTTGGATTAGTGGCACCTTGAAGAAGATACATTGAGATAATCTTCTGGCACTCCAAAAATCACACCAAAGCATCCGATGACTGTCCAAGGGGTGCCCGCTTCCGAGACGTTTTTGCCCGTTTTCTGCAGTAGTCCTGCCGACACTGAATGGATTGTCTTTCTTTACTCACAACTTACACAAACAGCTGGGATTCCACTTGGAATTACGGGTAGGCGGAGGGGTATTAAGACCATCCAGAGGCTGTGATGGGATTCTACTTGGAATTTTCTGCGGGTCCTTTGCCCCAGGTTTCTCATGTTTTTTTCTTCCAAGAGGCTCTCTAAGTCACCGATCACCTCAGGTCGCACACGCACATGGTTTTCTCTGCATCGGCCCAGGAAAGGGAACCCCCTCTTGGTTATGGTAGAACAGATTGGGCAGGTACATCACTTGAATAGGATACTAAATAGCATTAAATAGGAAAACCATGGAACACAAAACACATGCTTTACATCTAGAACTTCTTGAGGGCCGCCGTGTTGATGAGTTGAAATCACCGTCCCAAAGAATGCTAGGCGACCGGTATGTTGACCGACCGAAGAAGTGCTCCAGCTCCCCGAGACCGCCAACGACGAAATGCGAACATCATGCACTGTTCTGCATGCAAAAAATGCCCCTTTGACACACTCATACTTTCACACGTCCGAGACCATGTCGCTTGATTTGATTCGGCTTGACGGTCACTGGAGATTGTGGACTATTTATGCCAATGTAAATAGCCTGTGTACCTGCACCTGCAGAGTGTGTTTAAGTCATCAGTCGCTGTAGGCACCCAGTCCACCTCCCAGTCGACCCGAGTCGTCTCACCTCGTCATCGGTGAGGAAGCGCGTGCCAATCGCCAAATGCTGGCTGCCTGGGTTGTTGGAGCACCCGTGGGGTAGCTCGCCCCACGGAGAGTCGTCAACGGAGCTGGTTCATAAGACCAGGGAGGAGCCTGGTCCCTTAAAAACAGAGGTGCACTCTCAGAACAAAAAACAACTGATGCTGAATCATGCTTAAAGCAAGCTTGAAATAAAGCTTACAACAAAAAAACTGAAGTTCTCTCTGATCTGTGAGTCAAATCTTGTACCTTGTTGGTAGCTCACTTTCCTCATGCCCTACAGACTCTTCAATTCATTCTGGTGTGACATGAATCATAAGCCACCAATGCCTTAAAATGGAGACACTATCCAAACTCCACTGCGCAAACAAACAACTGACTATATATATATATATCGAAATTCAACAAAACATAGACAATTGCATGAACACTAAATTCCTAGAGGTCGAGTCAGAATCATGTAGACTGTTGACTATGTATGTATATATAGTGAAATATATATGAATGGCTTCATACTTCATCAAAGGTCGGAATGGATCGCTCTGTCTGTGATGATCTGCGGTGATCCGTAGTCATATATATAGGTATAGGACTTAATTACAATGGTTTCAGAATAGAAGTAGATGGCACCGGACCCCCAGGATGTCATGTTGTGCCATCTACATATCCAAAAACCACTGTAATGAGAAAAAAGGAAACGAAAACCAACATGAGCTCCGGAGTCGGGTCCCAGGCTCCGATCAACTCCCGGTAGTCTGTGGCTTCTTCGATCGCTTCCTTCAACTGACGTCCAGTCCAAGCGGCGTCACCTGGAGAGACCGACGACCGCGTTGAGTGAACGACCGGGCACCAGATTCGGTCCAAGAAAGGGTCAACAAAACAAACCTCCATGTATGGAACAAATATGATGTTTTTGTATATGTATATAATTGGGTGTATGTAGATGTATATATATATATATTATATGGAATAGATACTATATATATATATATAAAGATATATGTAATTGGGTATATTGTAATATATATATATATATATATCCCAGCGGGTTAGCGCATTTGGCGCCGCAATTTGTGGTTCTAAGGACATGATACACCAACACAGGTGCACGTGTACGATCGCATCATTTTCCACTCTTCTCGCGCTGGTTTGCGCCAGCTCCAGGCTTTGCAGCGCCGACAAGTCCTGGGACCAGCCAAAAAAACTGGTCATTCTCATGGACTTCTATAGGACCTGGAACTGAAGGCCAGCTTCCTTCCAAGGGTGCCATGTCTATGTTCATGACCAGAAGGGTACACTCCTTAGGACCTTTGTTTCATGGCGACGTGGAGGCTCGAAGCACCACCAGGACCACCTGTTCGGTCCAGCATGAGTGCTTCCAAAAAGTGTATTGTAGTCTAGTCTCTTAGAATTAAGCCCACCCAGTGGAATGAGCACTCCTCTTGAAAAAAGGGGGTCTTATGGACTTCAAGAGTCTACATGATGGTCTTCTGTTTGGACCAACACCACCAAACATGCAGCAAGCTGGCCAAATCTGACCACACATCTTCTGACCATTCTGTTGGCGACGGCATCAAGCTAGACGGCCCGAGTAGAACTTCGTGAGGGCTTGCAGCATAGGTTGAAGCAACTCGGTAGCTACACTGTCTACAGTCTACTGGAATGATTGCTGGAATGGAGACAAAGTGATTGGCCTGTCTTGAACCCCCCCTGTGGGGAACAAAACCTCTTTGTTTTGTGTTGTCAATGCTGTGAGTGCCATAAATCCTGCACGGATGGGTGATTACTGGTATGGCTTACCAGTGATTGGCCCGTCTTGAGCCCCCCCTTGGGGGGAAACAAACACTCTTTGCTTTGTGTTGTCAATGTTGTGAACGCCAAAAACTCTGCACGGATGGGTGATTACTGGTTAGGCCCGTCTTGAGCCCCCCCGTGGGGGGGAAACAAAAACTCTGTGTTTTGTGCTGTCAATGTTGTGAATCCTGCGTAGATGGGTGTAAAAAAGGGCCACTACAGCGGACGGGCGGCAATATGCTGAATTGGAGACGTCCACAAAAGCCTCGAAGTGTGCTTTGATATTTTTTACAGCGACAGTAAGACGGTACAAATGTGCCAACCCGTATCCCAGTACCAGTAACGCCTTTCTCTAACATAGTGATCGTTATGTACCAACTGTTACAGGTAGTGGGACCGACCCAATATGTATATATATATATAATGTTGTAATATATGTCCTAGAAGTCCGAAGACTTCTAGTTTTGCCCTACGGAAGTAAAGGATGTATCTCCAAGAGTGTACAATATATATATATATATGCACACTATATAATAATAGACTATATTAGTATGTATAATATGTACACCTGATATTGACCCCTAACGCCTAAAGCCAACTCAATGTAGGTCAATCATCCCATGGAACTTCCCATGGAGTGCCTGTGGAACAGTGGGAGATTCCTTCTTTTCAGACAAAAACAACAACACAAACGGCTTGCAGGTGGTGCGCTCCATGGCCAGGGCGGACATTCAGACCTATGTAGGACCCTACTCTTCATGTGTATAGGACGGTGTCCCAAATCATCCAAAGACCTTCAGAAGTGTCCAACCAACAACGGACACAAACCGTAGTCAAAGACGTGCGATATAGGTCAATCATGCTGGGCGAGGTGCAGCTGACCTTGCACAACCGCTCGGAGAGTGCATAAACTTCCAGCTCGATCGCCATAATCAGCTCGTTGCGCTAATCCATAGCTTCGACAAATTAAGCTCAGAAGGCTAGCAAAGAACGAGATTTCTGGTACCAGGACCCACGGTCGGGGATGGTTCATGGACCCCCTCTTTATCCTCTGAGGGACGATTCATCCTGCCAAGTTCTGTCTATTTTGATCATGTCTGAATCAAACCTTATGGAACCACTGCCACCCTCTGAGAGAGTGATGTGATCGACACATTTACAGAGGCTTGGAGGGTCTAGGTACCCTCTGAAAAGGTGGCAGTGGATTCCAAGGCTGACTGTAGTTCAGTCATGGTGCCCAGTCATGGGCGACTGGGTATCCATTTCCGCCCATCCCCTATCATCCAATGACCAATTTTCGATCCACTAGCGGTATGGAATTTTGGGGAATCAATCGATACCCACTCGGAGTGGTGCATGTTCAACTTATCCAAGCGCATTTGCCTCTCGCTGAAAAGAGCCCTTCAGGCCGAAAAGAGCGGGTCAAACACTGGCCACGACGACAAGCAACCCAAGGTGCGCGGTCAGTGAGTCTAGAGTCTCAAATGGCCTAGAAAATGGACCATGCACCAAAACCCACCAGGGAGTGGTTTGTTGACCCTGTTAGAGACTTCTGTTCGGGGTCATTCATAACACCCTTTTGGGGTCCAGGCTATTGATTGTTTGTTTTATTGCAACATGTACGCAATTGTGAGACTTCAAACGATAAACCTGAGATGGGCTCGCAACCGTGGAGAACACATGCGTGGTCGCTTTTTGTATCCTTGGATTATAGTTGGATGTATCACAGGTCCTTCATATCCCCTGATCAACAACTGGCTGTATGTGGTTTGTACCCTATATCGGAGGTTTGGCCGGATTGCATAACCTTTAAAAAGGTATGATGCGGCAATATGCGGTATAAAAGCCACAAGGATGCTATGGTTCAATCCCATGCCTTGGTGTTGCAAAGCTATGAGAACACTTGGAACCATGGTGTTGCCGTTCCTCTCTAGTTCCCACCATAGTTCCCACCAGAGAAACCCAAACATGCTTTCCCTCAGCTACGGATTCTGCAGATTCCTGGGGCCGCCACTCATGAGGATTCACCCATGCCACCAAACTGGATGCGGGACGTCTTTCACATGCAAAAAACCGAATGGGCAGTGACATGGCCTCAGTAGACCCACCCAGTAGACCCACCGACCCCGCCTTCCAATCTGGGTCCAACCAGTGGTAGGACGTCAACGTATGATCCTCCCAACGCCGCGTCGGGTCGGGTCCCGGCTCCCAACGGGTATTGCTGGCACGTAGACCCACAAGGAGTGGTTGATCAAAGACGCCTGAACCTCTATTGGTCCCCATCTTACTACCAACAAAAAGACATCCCGGCCTATATTGTCTGTGGTCTTCAAGTCTAAAAACATATCAAAACAGAAATTAAAAACACACACAACAATATGGTGCAGCACGTAACAACATGATTGCAAAAATCGCAAAAATGAACAAAGGGGAGGCATGGCTTGTCAGGTGAATGCAACATGTTGGTTTAAGAGCATACCTTTAGACATGTCAAAGAACTTAGCTGGAGGGTGGTTAGCAAACATTTATTTCTCTGAAGGGCCCTTTCACAGGTCAAGAAGGCACCTCAAGCAACAAGCAACCTAAAACCCTGAAAGCACATCAAGTAGAAGTCAACACCCGACGAACTCGTGCTCTGGCCTTCTCTGCCAGCTCATTTTTCACCAAGAAAAACTCAAAAGCTTCTGTGACGCACTCCCAAGTGGTAACCGACAACTCAAGGTATAGGTTAGGTAACTGGTGCTTCAGTAAAGGCAGTGCATGGGTAAAATATAGCTGCAGCTTGAAAGCAGGACTGCCACACCAAGGAGAAACATAACAAAGGATTATTGAATACTGGGTGCGCGGGTAGTATTAGTTGGGTAGTCGGATAGCCAACATGCCGCTTTTCATACGTTTCCATGTAATGCAACTGAGCCACAATCATTACCTAAAAGAAACATTTCGCAATATCCCTTTTCTTAAATCCTGAAATCAGGCCTCTGGTGAGAAGGCGCACGAATCCAGATTGGACGCTATGAATCAACATGTTGGAGTTTTGTGAGCAGCCTTAGAACTTTTTCAGGATTGAACATGTGCTCCATGATTTGCAGAATTCCTGAAAATAATATTCCGGGGACAACATGTAATGTTGTTTATAGGTATCTGTATGTTTGTCATCTCCCCCTAAAAACTTACTGTATCGCATTTGTTCACATTCCCATACATTCCCCAAAATTTGCATGTCTGATTGTGTGTCAGGAAATCAATGCCTTTGTGTGTTTGTTTGTCTTACGAATGATTTGTCCAATCCCTGGAAGCTTGCTGACCTGCATCTTTCAATCCAAGTGTCAATGCAACTGGGCGCCCACAAGCCATGCCCACCAGCAGCTTGGCGGAGCATACGACTCCAGGCGCCCATGTGCTGTAGCCGCAGCCGCTCGAAAAGGCGCAGCTCCTGCCAGGGAAAACACATCCGTTTGAGGCAAAACACACGACGTTTCCATATATGTCCAATCGTTGATACAGTTAAACGACTCATACAAGGAGCCATGACCATCCTGGGTGTCCTGTCTGGACTACACTACACTGACATTTCACCTAAAGACATGCATCCTGGCATTGATTTTTGGAAGGATGTCAAACGACAGATGTAACTTGCCAGGACCGTCCTGGCTGGGTGTCCTGGACTACCCTACACTTTCTGGGATCTCTGGACACCCATGACGGATGGTCCAGGTGAAATGTATCAAACATTGGAAATATCATGGGTCGTCTACATCTCAGGAGGGGAGTTCTGCCATTCCACACTGAGGGAAGTTCCACAATCGTCATAAGAACATGGGGATGTATTTGCGGGTACCGGGTGAACTCCTTGTAAAACTTGGTAATGAGCCATCTCTCTCCAGTCTGATCATGTGTCACATCTATTATCTCTCTCTATATATATATTCCCAGGTCGTCGGCTGGCTTTAAGCTCAAAAGCCCCTGATCCACCATGAGGCGCGAACGACCGTCACCTCGGTAGGTCGTGCCCGGTCGGTTTTCTGGTGCAACGCACAGGTAAGTACAGTAATTACTGCAAATGTAGCTGCGAATAGCTAGAAGAGTAGGTAGGCCTTTTTCATGTCCTGTCATGTCCAACACATACAAAGAATGACTTCCTACTGAGTTATGACAATCAGCACCAGGAGCAGTGGGTCGGGAGGGTTTCTACGAAAGGCAACAAATTGGAAGACATAGCTTGAACTAGAGACCAAGTGTTCTAGATGATCTGATTCTATCTATTCAGAGGACTCAGTGCATGATCTCCCACTCACTCAATGCTAGCTCGTGGGCCAGGTCGGCCAGCTTAGCACGAGCAGCCGCATCTCTACAGTACCTATGGAACAAACAAAGGGAGGTGTGTTCATTATAGATAGGGAGACGCCCAGCCAATGACTGGTCGATTTTCCGAACCGAACAGAGGAGGTTGATCTGGGAGGTCTCCCTATTTGAGCTACACATACAAATCAAGGCTGCCTGGCTAAGCTTGGAGCGTCTGTTTCGTGAAACTGCTGCCACTTCTCCTTCGCACCACAGGTCTTCTGTCGCGCACATCCGCCAGGGCAACAGTCCAGTCCTGAGCTTTGCGGGCGACCCGCGGCACCGATGTCCAGCACGAGCTTGGTTCATTCACCCTGTGTAGATGTGCCCCGAAGCGGCGACTGATGTTCGTCGTTCTGGAAATGAATGGGATGACTTTGCAGCAACCTTGCTTGAACCCACAGGTGTTTGTTTGCTTGCTTGCTTGTTCGTTTATTTGTTTCGATTTGGCAGGCCAAAGAGCACACTGAAGTGGACGACAGTTTCAGCCTGAACCCTTCAATGGACATCCCTACAGTACTTATAGGTCTCCATTGGAGACCCATTGGAAGCGCTAGGTACGACTGGATTTGTATAGGGTCATTTACATCCCCCAGGGATTCAAGTACCTTCTCAGGTTAGGTGAGCAGGGAGACACTGTCATGTAGGTGCCAGGAGGGTCCAGTCGTATCAAACCTGAGAAGGTACGACTCGATCCCTAGGGATCAGTGCCCTGGTCTCCAAGCCGAAACGACACGGGGCTCCTCACACCTGAAACGGCCCAGTCACGGCTAAGCAGCACACATACATCTCTGTGTACAGGTAGGGGGTTCCCGTCTGCAACAGAGTCATTGAATCCGATGGAAATCAACCTTCCAAGTCCAATCTTCAACATATTCACACTGAGTTCGTCTGAGAGGAAGTGACTCGAAGACGGAATGTGTGGGTCTACACATGTCTATAGACTGTTTCCTTGTGGAGCTCCGGATTCTCCGTGTCGAAGCTATCCGTTCACGGCACAAGCTCCGGGTCATGATCTTTCTGCTGGTCACACGACTTGCAGCCCATCACCAAAGTCTGGCACCAGCAGGGATTCACATTGGATGAATATACCCTCATATATCATCATTCCTACAGGTACATACCATCATATACCTGGTTCTTCAGTTCGTGACCCCTTGAGATGCCCCGTTGGGCCAGGGTCACCAAACATGGCCTTTCAGGGTCACTGGCTGGGACCCGTTCGGTCACATTGGTACCGAAGCTGTTTCCTGGTACCGAATGGTGAGCCTGGTGTCTGAGGTGGTCACTGAGTGGCGACCCTGGAAAAAACGACCCTTCAAACAGTGGTCAAGAGGTCACAAACGTTCTTAAGGCACTTGTGCCTTAGTTGGATCGCGCCCAGGTTCCTACCTCCAAGCTTCCTAAAGTGTAAGTGATCTCTGATGAGTCATAGAAGCTGTTCACCAAAAAGGTCCTGCCAGCGTTCGACGCAGGACCAAGCGGCGGCAAAACGTCTTTCAGCATCGCCTTGGGGATCCCTTCACAAAAAGGTGTGATCTCAAGTCCTAGATGTTCCCTGGAGCTCATCCGGACCCTGCTCGCTAGGTGGTCCAAGACCTGAAATTGTTGCATCATATAACCAATGATTCTTAGAACACTTCTTAGAACATCAATGATTCTTCAAAGATCGTCTGAATTCCCCTTCAGAGCTTCCAATACTTAAGGTTTACCACAGCACATCACAGCACCCTTCCGGTAGTTCACCCGAAGGGACCGTCTGTGTCTTCACAATCGTCTGGACCGCCTGGTCTGGATACCGTGCGCAAAGTACTGCGGGAAAAGGCACATCCACCACCTCAAACGCACAAAGTCTCAGACTCTCACTGCGGAACCGCGGACTCTGGACCCTCCAGCCATGTCGTTGCGAACGAATGCAGCTACTGTATCGTCATAACCATGGCAGTCTCTCTCTCTCTCTATATATATATATATGCATATACGTTCAATATGAATGTGGTATGTCATTAGATTATGCATGGCATAATATGGTATAACGGTATTGATTGTTAGAGAGGAACACACGACTATACAATAAAGACACACCTGTCCTGTTGATGAGAGAAACTTTGAAGCATCTCGAACCCATGCACTCTGTGGGGCACCCAAAACCACATCAAAGGTTTAGCAAAAGCTAAAATTGCATCCGAGTGCTCTTCCTTGGCAGCTTGTACCACGCCCAATCCAAGTGAACAAAAGAACCGAATTATCTGAGCCACTTCCCATGGGTTCAATAGCTTTAACTAACCCGGTTATGATCAAGTGGATCCCAGGTGAACAAGTGGATCTTCACTTTCCAGTGCAACCACCTCCTGCAATCCACAAATTTGCAGCGCCCATCTACATCTGCACTCTTCTCCACAACACCGGGCAGCTCAGATGGCTGGAACTGCTTCAAACAGCTGGAGGAGATACTCCTCAGCAAAGGAAGCACCAATCAGGTGAAGCTCGGGAGAAAGCACAAATCAAACCCAAACACTCCATGGGACTGCAATATATGATATGCCTACATTGACCCCCCAAACCACCCCAATGTAGGTATATATGGCATACATGGAGTGTTTGGGAAAGTCCAGGTTCATCTCAAGCACCCAATTCTTTTGGTGCTCTGGATAAACGCCCACAACACCAAGCAGCGAAAAGTGGAGCTTGGGCAGTTGCATTTTTGACCGGTGGATCGGATGTACATGATGAACTCGTGAAGACCAGCAACTCTTCTCCCAGAACTATTTGTTTCAGGGAAAATCTACATGAAAGCCATAGTTTGGGGGGTGAACACAAGGGTTTCCTGATGTTTCCTGCAGATGTTCTTAAACATTCTCAAACCACTTCATATCAATTCATGGATCCTCAGAATGTGCATCTTGCTTTTGAACATGAAAAACAACACGTCCCAAACACTCCATGACGGAAGATGTGCTACCCCGTCCCATGGAGTCCCAGGGAATGGCTCAGCCTCCCAAAACCGCTTGGGTGTTCTTGGCCTCCCAGGGTATAGACATCCTCACCGGTGACCAACCAAAACACCGGCCAAAGGCTCTTCCAGGCGCTGGACACATTGAAGAGGCTAATCAATTGCTCCGGCCAACAGCGCACACCCTGGCCGTGAGATTGGATCGGAGAATATGCCCGGGTACTTTTCAGTAAGGCACGGTCAAACGTGATAGCTGTTTTGGGAAGAAGTGGAAGGTCATGATCTGCTGTTGAAGTTTGCAGGTACGAATGGTAAGAACGACAATGTGTTAATATTATGTGTTCATGTGTATAGGTACGTTTGATTGTCTAGAAGCCTCTGGTACATGTTGCTGAACAGGATGGCTGCTACAAGTTGTTTGGGTGGAACGAAGAAGAGCCGGCTTATATATATATATATGTATATATATAGTCTATTCTGACATGCCAATAGTTCGGGTGTTAATGTGGAAGACGTGTTCCCTTTCCAGTGTCCTCAGTTCATGGATTTCTGGCGTGGCGACTCACGAACGAGCTTTGCTTTCTCTTTTTCAAGAGTCCACCAGATCATGTTGAACTAGCCAATCGGTCCAAAGCCAATCGGTCCAAACTTAATATAGCATATATATAGTGTATATATATAATATTCATTTTAAATTTGAGAATAAAACTCTCCGTATGGAGTTGGTATGGACCGTTGGCACACGTCTTTGTTCATCTTCAAAGCACACCAGCTTGCTCCAAGCTGAAAACTGGTGTTCGTTCCAACCCACAAGAAACAGCGGTCCAAGTGTCTTTTTCGTGAGACGAAGCCCATCAGTTGAGACGAAGCCCATCAGTCCTGGACATTTCGCAGGTCCAAGAAGAAGCCGGCATCTGCAATGGCCCGCACCTCCAAGCCAGGCCTGATGGCTCTGGAGTCATGGTTCTATTTCTGTTCTTTTTGCGGGATGGGGGAGGGAGAGAGTGAGAGAGAGAGAGAGTGTCTGTTTCGGAACGTTTCTTGGCAAAAGTTGACATCTGAGTGGATACTGGGGGTATAAACAACATGGACATGTATCTAATTTTCAGATGGACATCTATGACTCGCCTCCTCACACCGTTCACCTTACTCCAAAAAGTACCCCTCCGTCATCGTTCACCCTGTTACTTTCTGAATGTTGCATCCTCCCAAATTCGACCACCATAGGTCCCATCGCCCCATTTAGGCCACCCCAAAAGCTCGCCTTCCCAGGTGCCGTGCCAGGCCGGCTGTTTCGGGGGGGGGGCCGGCGCGCCACCCCGGCCCCTCGGCCGGCACGGAACCCTTCTCGGTCCCGTGCTTCTCTCGGCCTTTGCACTTTCTCCGCAATCTCGTCGATGTGCATGAGCACCGCCAAGGCCCCAGCGCTGCCGCCGGAGACCACCAGCTGCTTCGTCTCGGTCCAGCGGAGCGTGTCCAGCAGCGCCTCCAGGATCCTCCCACGTTTCTGCCCGGATCAAGGTGGGGTGAGGTAGGGTGAGTCTTTAAAGAACCACGTAGAAAGATCCTGGGACGAGTGTAACAGTGAAAAAAAAATCTTCATGTTCCAAATCAAGTCTGTATAGAGTTCAAAGGAAAAACATCGTCTACTGAGCGCACTTGGACTCTTGCTGGCCGGGGGAGATACAGTAGCATCCCGGTAGCTCTTGTCTCAGGATCCCGACGAAACGAACACATCTTACGATAATGAGGATGTGGCACTGTGCACCATCTTGCCAGGGCTAACCCCCCCCAAAACTGCAGTGACCCGTCTTTTCCGGATTCTCTACCACTTCCCACCCCACTTGACTGGACCGGGTGGACTGACCCAGCGGTCGCCACTAGTTTTGGTTTCAGCGGCGCTCTTGTGATCCACATGTGGCGACGAACTGACACGGATGGCCAAAGGACGCCAAGCTGCTTGGAACCTTTGAAATGCAGATCTTTGCCTTCGTATCCTCGGATCAATTGGAAGTCTGGACAATTCCCAACAAACAAAATTGAATTAATATCTTGAATAAATATATATATATATATATATGAGTCCTCAATACAACAAACATATCATCAGGAGCAGTGTCACCGAGAACGAGCGAGACACATTAAAGTGTGGTGAGTTCATGTCTGTTCAAGGTCATGCTTGATTCAATCCAAAAATCATCAAAGTGTCAAAGACCTAACACCATCTATTTAAAACCTAGGAGATCCTAGGAGTAACATGAGCCCCATGGAACCCCCCCACCTGACAATCCCATGGATTCGCGCTCCGGCGGAGGGGCGAAGGACCGGGGCGAAGAGGGGTGGTTTTGCTGCAGAGATTCTCACATGATGGAGACCGGGAGATCAGGGATGTTTTGCCACAGATATTCCGAGTCCACAGATGTTTGCAGATGTGTTCGCTCCGCCTAGTAAGTAAGATCGCTTGCTTTTCTCGTCTGAAGGAACGCATCTCTTCCTCTGATCTGGGGGGGCGACTAAAGTGAGGAAGCTGACTGAAGCCTTGGTTCCTAGTGGCTACCGGAGCTCCACTAGCGTTGATTCATATCACTTGGTATGCAGATTCAGCCCAGCAGTCCATTCAGGTCTTTACCAACAATGATTGTATATACAATAATATAGAACATATGATAGACCATTACTGGATGCTAGAGTGAATAAGATAGACCCAAGCTACAGAGTTTATTTTGCCACGCAACTGACGATTTGGTCGCCCGTAAAGCTGGCTCCATCGCAGTAGGGCACATAGACCAAAGTCCAGTTGTGAAAAATTGGATTTTCCTGGCAGCCGGGCCAGCATAGACATCCAGATAGAGATCTTTGTGGGCTGGATGCGAGAGATGTGACGTTGTGACGTTGTGCCTGGATTCCCATGTTTGTTGATCATAAAGGGGAGTGCCCGATTGAAATGCTGTATTCAATATGATTCAATTGTGTTCAGTGAAGAGTGTTCACACATTTTGTAGGACACTACTGAACAAGCGTCGAGCATTCAAACAGTGAGCCTTCGGGATGTCAGTGGATCCACCAAACACGTCAAGGACGTAAGTCGATTTGCAAGATCAAAGGAATTTCAAAGGTAAACCGGATGTGTTCTACAAACATGAGACCGATGATGAAGATGCCCATGGATTTATCTGAGATTCGTTCCCACCCGCATGTTGTTTTCCTGAAGTGTGACACACACACACACACAAGCACAAGATTTGTTGGCTCTATGTGTTTCTGAAAACTCCTTTGGATGTTTCCAAGCGAACATAAGCGAACAAGAAGACTCGTTGGCAAATTCTTGGAAGTTCGAAGACTTGTTCAACCTCTTTCTTGGATCTCCTTGAGTCGTTTCTTTTGGTGGAGACTGCGCTGTTGGTCGAACGCGAAAGAAACAGCAGCTGCCACACCCGGGAAGAGACCCACATGGAACCTGATGGCACCAGACTGGAAGACGGATGCTTCCTTTACAAACCAAAGATGTTCAATGATTTTCAGGTTCCGGGTGGGTCTCGCAACAAGGGCGCACGCGCGGCGCGCGGGTGCTGTCAATGGATTGGTTCAATACAACACCATGGCGTTGAACCCCCCAGGTTTCCGATGGTTTTGTGGCAAATGTTCCCCTAGAACGAATTCTGGGATGCTTTCGCGGCTCTTAGCTCGATCACTAACTACTATTAATTAATACAAGCTCTAGCAGGCTGTAGCATCCTGCGTCAGGATGGACGCCCTGTACACAAATACCAACAATCGAGCCTACAAAAACTGTTATACCCCTTGGATCCCCTTGCACCCACAAAAGCTGGTGCCCTCCAAAATTGTGCAAAACAGATGGCTTTCTCCAATGAACCCTCGGCCCCACGTGGCCCCCATTTGTCCCGGCCTCGGCGTTGGCGCTGAGCATGCCGCGCAAATATCTCTCCTGGGTGCAGGGGGCCCAATGGGGCAAGCCACTGGTACGTGTTAACACATTTATATACCAGGGATCATCCAAGGGATGCCCAACGCATATCCCTAAGTGGTGTAGGGGTAATTAGTCTATTGGAGAGCCCTTGGTTGGAAGCAAAAATGACTTGGTCAGTTGCTAGAACAACCAAAGTGTATTGAAGCGTATTGTACAATGCAACAGATCTTCTTGAAATCTACGTAATGAATGGACATGTCCAATCCTTTCAGCGATGCTGTCCTGCTGTCCACCTCCCCAAAGAAAACCTTTCAGGTGGATTTAGTCCTATTCATTGTCCTGTTCATTGTCCTATTTGTAGACCGACTCCTTCAGTCTCCCTTGTAGATAAAGTTAAAGTGTTTTCCATCTGTTAACCATATTTGTGGGAAATAGAGGTAGATCTTCCAAACGCCTGGATACCCAGTTGGTTCTGGACAAAGCCCATGATTTCCAGATGACCTCGGGGAGCGGTTTTGACCCATCTTCATCCAAGAGTCTGGCATGGTCTGCGCCCACGTGCTGCCTTAGTGGGCATGTGCCAGGTGAAAGCAGGAAACACAGGCCCTGGAGATTCGCCTGAAGCCACAAGCACCGGAGGATTCCAGCGGGGTGATCCCTTGCGCCACAAACCTCTTAAGCAACCAATCTATCCAAATACTGAATTAAACAAGTTGCAGCTTTTACTCAACCAGGACCAGGACCATCCAGAGTGTTCACAGTGGGACCATTTTAACGCGAGATTCCATTTGACATGTCGTGGATTTGGGCCTAAAACTGAGGCGCCGCAACAAATCACCTGGCCATGATGTCGCTTCCACCTCCACTTCCAGCCGACCTAGTCAGCCATAGTCACTGGAGCCCAGTCTTCCATAGGAGCGCTTTTGGCAGTCCTGCCGTTTTTGGCTGCCACAGGTGGTTGGGAGACCCGGTGGAAAGTTAACATATACCAACTACGGTACTTCAGCAGGCGGTAATTATTCTACTTGCCAGAGTCTATGAGCAGCTTCGGAGCTGGGGCGCTGCCTGGCCTCGATTTGAAAAGAACGATCTTTTCAATTCCAAACCTGAACTTGCCTGACCCACCGCCTCAGCCAGGCTCCAACTGACGCGTTCACCCTGGATCCATCTCCTGCGTCCACAAACCGAAACGGCACCGAAACACCATGGCCCGAAACGGACGACGGGAGACCTGCAGGGTCGCTGAAGCCTGTGGCTGGCAGCTCGGGTCATAACCTGGGCAGCTCGGGTCGAGCGATCCGACCGGCTCGGAACGCGATCCGACCAACGTGCGATCCGAGGAAGTCAAGTGACCGCGCCAGGTCACAGGCTGGACTCAGCTGGACGGTTCTTGGGGTTTTGGTCTGGCGACATGGTTTTTGTTTTATCTGACTGGGAGGATGAGGTTGAAAAGAACTTGGTGTAACGCTTCGGGGTGTCTAAAACGCTAGCCCACTGCCGTGAGTTTTGTGAAAAAAAAGTGACCCCCTTAGAGGAACCCATCTTGAGCAAAATTCTTATACTGGAATACACTGGACATGCCTGATGAATTGAATGCCTCAAGTATCCTCAAGTCAGGAATCAACAAAACAACACAACTGGAACGATCCTTTGCAAACTTCCGCGACACCAAAAACGCCACCCACATGTGACGCCAGTTTCCCTGCCATGTGACACCAGCCACCACCCTCCAAGAAGATGAGTGTCTGCTTGTGGCTGCCTTCAAAGACTTCATGAAAAAAACAGGGAGTCAGTCCGGGTGGCACGATCACCTAATTCCGGCGTTTCCACGTGAGGCAACACAGGCAACTGGAGATGATTCTAACCGGACACTTATCAGGGCTGGAAACGCAGTACTCACATGGATATCCAGAAATCAGAATGCCCTTCAAGATCTCTCCTGACCCCCCCAAAAACGCTTGCTCCTCCCCCAACAAATCTGTTGATCTCGTCTCTGTCGTCTGTCGTCTCCGCTGTGCTCCGACCGATGGCGGCGGCGGCGGCCTTTGCGGATGTAGACGCCCGCCATGGACCCGTCGAGGCACTGGGCGTCCGGGTAGTCCCTCGGTCGGAACGGACCGGAGCGACCGATGACCGGTCGGGGCCACCGATGACCGGCCGAAGGGCCTTAGAGGTGGGACACATCGGATTGAAAACAGATCAGGGATTGAAATGGATGGTTTTTCTGATGTGCTTCTTGGTTGATGGGTGGGAACCACTTGGATGTCCCTAGTATAAACCACCATGGAGACTCAAGTCATCTCAGTTCTGTGCAAAAAAGGATGCTCCAGGCAAAACAATCCCTAGCCGCCCTGGCCTCCCAGTTCCCTCTTTGACAGGCAATTGAGCCCAGTTTGGGAGTAGTTGTTTGTTGGCCCCAAGCCTTGAGAAAAATTGACATAGTGACAATCTGTGACCATCTGTGACCTCCGTCCACCTTCAAAGTGACTCATTAAAGGTCATTGAATTGACTTATAGGGGTTTCACATAGCCTGGGTTCAGCCATCACAGCACAAGCACGGACGAGCCACTTTGGTGAGAACAGTTGGAGGTTGGCATCAAAGTCTGCGCCACAGTGGCAGCCTTTGCATTGGCAAAGCCAGTCCTGGCGGAGCAAAACGCGAAGCGAAATGGGTTCTAGGCATATGCAAGTCTTGCATAAGTCTCTTCAGCAAAATCTCTGTATTGAGCAAGTTCACTTGCTTTGCCTTCCACCTCCCCCTTTTTTGACTCTCTCTCTCTCTCCAAAAAATAATTCCGTTCAGCTCATCATGCCCATACCCCCCTACCCAACCCATGTCACTTACATGACTGTGGGTCCAAAACCCGGTTGACCCCGGTTCTTCCCACTGATCAAATGTTCACTGATTCCTCCTGCATCGGGATGTCAACCCACCAGGGTAGTGCTTCCAGGTGCCATGACCCAGCTGGCCATCCTGCCACAGCGACCCCCGCCTTCTTCAGTGAGGCGCAGCTGTTCTTCGCCGGATCCCATGCGATCCACTCGTCGCAGGTATATTCTCAGCACCGGCCCGGCGACGTGAAGAGGACGACGGGACGACGGAGCGAAGGCGAGGCTTGGCTCCGGTGGATGGCAGGTTGGACACCGGTGGGTCACACAGAGTTGGATATTGGCTTCAGGGAGATATCTTTCACTTTCCGACATTGGACCTTTGTGCGAATCAGTCTTAGCTGTCACTGGAGTCAAGATACCGAACTCCCCCCTATCAATAAGTTTTAAGTGGTCCAAAATGCAGTCCATCTGCACAGGAGAACGCAGCTTTTAGAACTCATGGAGCCATTGACCTGTAAAAAGTGGATCCAGCTATCACCAAAGTAAGTATCAGGTGGTTCCTCCAACTAGAACCATCTATCAACTATAGAACCATCTGAAACCATCATAGAAACCGTGGTTCCTCATCTGAGCGGTAACTGGAGTTCATTCACTGGCCATCTTGCCCCTGTGAGTGCAGCCAAAGAACTGCCACACTTCTCGCACTGTTGCTGACACTGTTCCTTGTAATCATCGCAGCAGTTGCCCCTCTCCTGGATGTCGCGTCACCCTTCACTGCTAGGGGGCCCTTGGTCGATGCGTGAGCTGGGTTAATAGCGTCTGATCTCACTGTTCGTGACTGTTCGGTCATCTGAACTTGAACCTGGTCGTTCGGTCTTTCCGATGTAGGGAGCATCAATGGTCGAGGGGTCGGTCGAGCTCGTCTCTCAAGTCGTTTCACCGGTCGGTCCCGCCTCGCATTGGTCATTGCACCAGCAATCCTCCGCCCAGGAACCACACCTGTGGAGTTCGGTCGAACCACTCCTTATCCGAACTGGTTCCTAACACAGGTGGTAAACGAGTTCCTTGGAGGAACATGGAGGAACCATCCGAGTCGTGTGTAAGTATTATAGCCCATATATGATATGTATATATATATATTAATTCTTGTTCATCCCTGTTGATATAGCAAAAGCATGTAAAGGCTGCGGAGTCTCAAATGGATGATGTGGTACTGATGTTTATGCTTACTGTCCCACCATGACACAACCACCGCAAGTTGTTAACCATGCTCCTCTAAGAAGGGTACCCTAGCTGCCAACTAAAGATCCATTCAGTTCAACCACACCAACCACACCTACCTCCCTCGAGTGTGTCCGCGCTCCCGGCTTTCCCGCGCAAGAGCCCTCGAAGGCTTGCACCAGCCAAAGGTCCTCAGTCAAAGGCTTGCACCACCAAACTACCATGGACCCTTCCCACCGTTGGATGGTTACCGAGTCAGACCACCGGACCACCGGATGGTCAAAACTGTCTGGGGTATTCTTCTGGGGTATTCTTGAGGTGTGTCAAAAAGGTGTTTGAATCTGTTCCATTTTGGGGGGTGGCAATCAGGACTTATTAAGTTATATATCATGATATGGCAAGACCTGCAACACTCGGTGGATCCACAACGATGCCACAATGAATGACAAGATGTTTTCTGTCTGTCTGTCCACAAGTGCTTCCACAAGGGTAGAAGTGTAGACTCTCGGAGGATGAATATTTGTGGAGGAGCGAAGAAAAAACAACAAAAGCATGAGGCACTAAATTTGAATTTCTTCAATGAATGGCACCATTGCTGTGGATGTCAAGACGTAAAGATTTGATTGGAAACGACAAACAATGAGCGTTATAGGTAAATCTGTTGGCCTTCCAGGCATGACAGAGTCGAGTTGGAAGACAAAAGCAAAAAAACACTCGCGGACACTCAGAGGTGAAGAAGTGATGAACAAACAACATACAAACAATAGCTGTGTCCTTTTCAACTTGATATTGACATTGACTATGCGTTCGATGCGTTCTTCCACGCCGGACCACTCACAAAACCCTGTGATCCTCTGACACGACACGTTCGCCCCCCGTGATCCTCTGGCACGTCCACCGCCGGATTTCTCAGCGGAGGACAGGCAGGTGACTCTTGACTCATCCACCAAACGCTCATCCAAATGGGAGATTGGAACACTCATCCACCAATGACTCATCCTCTCTCGTGTTCCAGTCCAAATCCAACTCATCCACCAAACACTGAGACACGCACGAAACCCGGTGATTCGTCACCAAGGAGCTGCGAGGAGAAGGATCTGATGTAACCTTCACGTTCCGCCCCGCGCTTCCAGTTCCGCTCTAACGGGCTAATGCTTTTTGTTTGAGTCACTGGAAGGATGTTGACTCTATAACGCTCCATAGATCGAGTCACCGGAAGGGTGACTGGGCAAACATGACACGCATGACTACTCTTCGTGCGTTCGCACCGAACCAGAAGGGTAAACACTTTGAGCAGTATAGCGTGATAAAGTATAGTATAGTATTAGTATATTAGTATATGTGTATATGTATATAAATATATATATATACATATGAGTACATGTGAGTGGCTTTTTGACATCTCGACATGATAACAACGGGACAAGTTCCCTCGAATTGAGCCTCGAACTTTGCTGTTGCTTCATTTCTTGTGTCGCCCCATGTCGCCGCGTTTCCTTTACCAACTTTGACGGAAATTACACAATAAAGACGGACCTACGAGTAGCTTGGTCTGTTTAGCATGGAAAAACAGGGTGCCGTTCCCAGTTCTGGCGCAGGGTGTCAGTTCCCATCTTGCGCATGACAAGTCCGGTCTGGAGGAGTCCTGGAAGTTGCCGAATGCTTGTGGGCATGAAAGTTTGCCAAGGAGATATAAATCCGACAACTGCAAGAAATGAGGGTGGCTGGAGCCTAAGGTATCTATAGTAGTCGTAGTAGTAGTAGTAGTAGTCGTCGTAGTAGTAGTAGGAGGAGGGGATCAACCACCCAACCACCCGCCTTCCCAGTCAAGTCGCACCACCCACGGAGTGTTAGCAAGACGTCTCACAATTTCACAATCAGCCAACCGTTGTATTTTGGGTATGGTGGAATGGAATAGTCTAGGAATTACATAGAGGTCCACAAATAGATAGCAACAACCTCCAAATCTAGTTCGTATCGAAATTACGGACCCTCAGTTCAGTACTGAAAAAGGTGTCGGGAGGGTATAGTCTTCTCAAGTGAACCCATCAGGAGATCAGCTTTAGTTTTCGGGTGTGGAGCTGCAAAGGTCAAAACAATGAGAAATCCATATAAATCAATCCGTATAACACATGCCACAGCAAGCAGCTAAATCCTACTCCATTACCATCGCCGCTGTCCTTACAGAGTTGCGGATGAATCACTCAACCTCAACTGGCTACAGTGCACAGGCTAGACGCTTTCACGCACCAAGTAGCCTCATGGCGGAATCGCCGCCGCACTACGAGCCGTTGGAAAAAAAAGAATTGGCCAAAAGCGTGTGGCAGGCGGAATATATATTTTATCTATAGTATTATAATGTGTTCAAAAAAACAAAAACGGTTGTTTTCCTTTTGAATACCTTTGCAAGTCCTTATGTGTGAATTTTGACATGCTTACCGGGAACCCGACTCTATAGGGCGCTAGTCGAGAATTTTGAGACCTCGAGTCACTCTTCCAGTTGGATCATGAATCATTAGCGGGAAGGGTGCACAGTAGCTTGAAAACGTTTAGCTCATCAGCCTTCGGCAAACACTCAGCAAAAAAATCCTTCGTGCACAACGGCTGCAGTCATGCAGCACCTGGCTCAAGAGGATTGAGTGAATAAGGCGGTCATACACCACCTGGCCCCTTTGTGTGACCCCCAAAGCCGCTTCACTGCACATTGAGGTGGAAAATATTGTAGTTCAAGTTGATCTAGCCACCCAATACCCGCGGAATGGAGCTGCCCAGGGCTGCTTCATTCGACTGCCTGACCAAACATCCACGTCTAAAAAGAGCCTCTGAAAACCCAATGGGTTTGCACAAACCACCACCCCCCGCGACAACCATGGGTACATTTGGGGCAAAAGTACTCAGCCATTTGGCCAAGCAAAGCGACTCCCGAGCTCCGCACCGAACTCGGGAGACTCTCCAGGTTCGGTGGACTTCCGAAACCCCCTCCATGAAGCCAACAAACAGCTGATCGTATATATGTCTCTATAGTCTATAGTATCCATAGTATCCATTGACAGGGCAGTTGCAAGCTCGAAAGCTTCCCCCCCCCCCCAAAACAAAACACTTATTTGGATCATGACCACTACCTTAGACCACCTCCATGTCCCACCACCCTTGATGCATTTCCTAAGGTAGTACCCATTTGGGATCTGACGGGTCTCACGGATCGGTCGACAAGTGTCGGAACTTCTGAGTGCTGGAACTTCACCCTTCTTGCTCTGGATCAGCAACTTCCTCAGGAAGCGGAACGAAGGTCGGCGCTCCAAGCGGTTTAACTTCCAAGCAGATCCGCCCAGCGGCTGGCAATAAAAAGATCCGAATGTCTGGGATTTCCCTGCACAGTTCTGCAAATGAATGAATTGGTACATATTGGGATATAATGGCATCCACGGCCGTGAGGTCATGGAAGCCGGCTAGACAGAGCTGCAGTGAACACAACAAAACAATCTCATGTCAATGTGGCATACAGGCCATGCAGGTTGTTTCGATCAATGCACCGTACATCACGCAATAATCCCGGCAAAAGACCCCAAACAGTGTGTCTAAAGGTCTAAGGTTCAGAGGTGTAGAAGCAGAAGGTCTAGAGATCTAGATGCATTGGGTTCCAAAGAAAGGTGATGGTGGTGATGATGGTGGTGTGAAGGTGGTGGTGGTCGCGGTGGTTGCGGTGGCGGTGGCGGTAGTGATGGTGGTGGAGATGAAGGTGGTGATAGCAGTGGCGGTGGCGGTGGCGGTGGTGGTGGTGGGCGATGGTGGTGGTGATGACGGTCGTGGTTGTGGTGATAGTAGTGATGGTAGTAATGCGGTGGTGGTGATGGTGGTGATCCGAGACAAGTTTGTGTCGTCCATGCCAAACGCCAGCAAGATCCAATTGCAACTTTGCTTCGAGGAGGTGGCGCTGATGTTGACAAAACTCACCTATTCAACAGCAAGGACCGACCAAAAGGAAGCAGGAAAATTGGGAATGCTGGAAGACCGCATGAATGAGAGTGCAAGGGAGCGCTCAGCGTGTTTTTGTTCATGTTGACGTTTCAACAAGGGGTTGCGCGTGCCTTGACAAGGAATACAGTTGCGCAGGCGCATGCCTATGCCAAGAAGGCCAACAAGGCCAGGGAACCAAGCTGTGTTGTCAAGTTCTGGTAGTTATGAACTGCGTGACCATGCCAAATGACATTCGACTAAAAACATTGCCAGCTCTCAAAGACCAAGGCACTGACATCACCTGCTCCCATCGAACAATTGGGATGGCAGCAAACTTTGTTGCCATTGAGTCCACTGCTATGATGATCAGAGTGCTAGCTGCTAGCACAGGAATGCAGCTTGAGCTTTGCGCAACCTGTACTTGCACACTCATGTGCTCGTTCCCACATCGCCACCAACCACCCAGCACGTGGCAGCCCTCATTGTCTGGCCATGCCCTATGACTGACTCCAAAATTTTGTCCCCTGTCGCATGATGATCTGGAGCGGAGCACACTGAACTTTTGCCCACACAACAGCGCCTAGTGAATATGGGAAATCAGGCTGGCTCTTCAGCCCCAACTTTCTCAAGCGTGGATCTTCTTTTGGCCACTTAACACGTCCTCTTCTGGAGTTGGGCCCCAAGATTTGGGGGGTTGGCATCAACAAGCCTGGCAGCTGGATCCAGATCTCAATTCCCAAGCCTACGGCTGGTAATTGTGTTAAGACATTTCATTACATAAGAAATTAGACTCTACTTTCGGGGGTTGGTTTTAAAATCTAGAGTCTAGATTCCGAAAAAGAATATTATCCTGAAAAAAATAAGTGTGCGAATAAGAATAAGAATTGTAAAAAAAACATATATATATATATATTATATTGCACTCAATCAGCTCCTCTTTTCCGGCCAGCCATCTGAAGGTTTTGAATGTTGACGTGCTAGG